ATCTTAACAACTTGCCTGATGAGTACTTTAGAGATGGCAAACAACTCCTCCAAGATACTTCCTCATCCGGTAAACCTTTTTTAATTAATGATCATATACCACATATATATATATATATATATATATATATATATATATATATTTTTTGACATTATACCACATATATTTTGCTATAAAAGTTCAAAGCAACATAAAAGTTATATTGTTTTATGGTTTTCTTTTTTGGGGGACATCCATAGATACCAAATCAATACAGCTTTCTCATCATATATTTGGAAACAAAATGGAAGAAACTAATACCACATGCATGGTTTATCATATTTCATATTTTAACACTCATTACAGTTTTTCTCTTCTATTATTTTATTTTTCCCTTTTGTCTTCCCCAGCCTCCTTTACCTTTCTTAAAACATGAAAGCCAAACACAAATAATAATGGAAAATGCATGAGAATGGAATCAAAGAAAAAATTAGGTTTTAATTAAATTTAATTATTTTATTCATGATTTGGGTATCGGAAAAGAGGGGTGTCATGGAAGTTAGTAACTTAGCTTTTTTTTTTTTTTTTTTTTCAGACTGCAGGAAAAAGCAAGACAGCTTCAAGGATGCAATCGAAGAGTGTGAGAAGGTCTACGAGTGTAGATTTTGTTCCCTTAAGTTCTGCAAGTCACAGGCTCTTGGGGGACACATGAACCGCCATCGCCAAGGCTAGCTAGTCCTCTTTAGCCTTTTGTTTTTCTATTTTCCCCATTTTATGAAAAATAAATAAATAACCCAATTAAACAAAACCATAAAATAGTCTATTATTCAATATTCTCTTAAATAAAAAGACATTTAAAAAATGGAAACACTGGATGGTTGTTAATGATTTGATCATATGAAGCATTGTCATTTCAATCACAAAATTGTAGGCCGTAGTGCTGAAATTCTTGGTACATTTTTTAAATAAAAGGAAATCGTTTTTGTTTCCTTGTTTGATTTGATGCGTGTTTGTGTGTCTGTCTGTGGTGCAGAGAGGGAAACAGAGACCCTGAACCATGCTCGTCAGCTGGTCTACCGTAACGATCATAGCATAAGCACCCAAGCTGCCCCCCAGCTAGGGTATGAACATACATACTATTACTGACTTTTATATTGTCCTTTCTAATTTTCTCTTTGTACCTGGGGTATATGCAAGTACTATTTCCCTAACTCTTCTTGCGATGCATCTTTTTAAGTTTTAACTCTCTTTTAAAATACCCATTCCATGCTATAATAAGTTTCTACACCGTGATATATTGTTTTATATATACTAAAAAAAAATTAATAAATAGATGAAATATAAATTTTAAATATGATTATTATTTTTATATGAAATGTAACATAATATTTTTTTAAAGAATATTACGAAGATTATTATGATACTTATTTTGAGACTTTTTTCTTTTTTCTTTTAAATATCACACTTATAAATTATTATGAGGATAAAGAGAACAATATTATTAATCACATTGAAGTTATGAAGATTAACTAATGAATAATTCTAAAGTTCTTTTAACATCGTTCTATATATTAGGCCTGTTTACTTAAAAAAAAATTAAAAATGCAATTCTTTAATAACCAGAAAAGAGTTGTTTCACAAAATAAAGAAAAATACTTATTTTTAAAAGAAAGTTTAAAGAAATACATCAAAAAATAAAAATGTGTTTATTTTTTCTTAAAAAAAATCCTTTTATAAAAAAATATTTAAACAAACAGATCACTAATTATCTTTTTAGTTTAAGAAATAATACAATAAAAATAAAAGTTTTATCCTGCAAAGTAATGTGGTTATATGAAATACATATAACATCGTTGGATTTTAGGTTTGAAAGAAAGAAAAAAAGAATATTAAAATAAATAGCCACGTAAGAAATGGAAAAATACAAAAGTTAGTGTATACGAAAGCATAATGTATCAACAATTGGGTAAAAGAAGTTAGAAAATCAGTTATAATGATTTAAATATATATAAAATATCATTGTAAATACGTTTCCGAAATTAGATGAGTAAATAATGAATTAAATATAATTTTTATGTTTTAAATATTAAATACATGTACATTAACTTTATGTTTACTTTATAGAACATTAGAAATATTAGTAAAAAATTATTACAGTTTTTTTTTATTTTCATTCTTTAATTATTAAATTGTCACTATATAATTTGAAGTTGTTTTTATTTTTCAAATATTTGTAAAGAAAATAAATAAAACAAAAAAATACAAGTTATTTTCAATGTATCTTTTATAAAACATTTAATAATACTTTGGTAATTAAAAAGGAGAAAGAGAAAATAAAAAATAAAAATAAAAACACTAGTAAAGAATCTTCCCATTTCACTATGAATCAAAAATTTTAACATTACACTTAATTCTTCCACATTTTTTAGATTTCAAAACTTTTGAAACTTGTTTTCCTCCACATTAATAGTTTATCTTTTTGAACAAGTAAATTAAATGTACAACTGTTTCAGATGCTGTCAACCAATAGCATTAGGGGGCTATCCTCATCCTGCAAGCAACATGGGTGACCCGACAATGCGTCTAAGATTCCCAAGATACATGTCTGGAGCTTCATCCTCACTGCACATGCCAACACAACCATCACTACCGCACCAACACTTTCTATATGCCTCACCTCCATTGCCCTATTCTCATGCAGTTAACGATTACTATGTGGGTCACGTTCTTACCAGCGACTATACTTGCATTGGGGCACCCGTAGGACAAGCATTCGTTGGTGGTGGCAAGGACAGGTCACTGCAGGAGGAAGCATTGAATTGGGGAAGGGGCCACTCAGTAACACCGCAACAGCGATTGGATACTCACTCAGCGATCAATCAGTTTTAGGATGGGTTATAAAGGGATCTTCTCAGTGATGATATATATAGTTAGTTTTATTATGTATCAGTATCACAAGATACAGGCTATTCAGAAAGAGAGAGACTTAACGAACTGACAAATGGGGTCATCACGAGTGAGAGCTGAATTTGAATTATCTAAATTATACTGTAATTAAAGATGACTGCTTTTGAGCTAGTTTGGTTTGAAGCTGCATGTTGGAGTTTCAATACTTTTGTAGACTGTAGTGTTGGATGATACAAATCATCAATGAGTATCATTTAAAATTGATTGGAAGAGATAAAAAATTATTTACATTCATATCTTATGTATAAGACTGCTATGTAATTAAATACTAACATAAATACATATTTAGGAGAACAATATATAAAAGAAAAAAAAATAGTATTATTAAATTTTTTAAAAGTTAAAATTAGTTTATCTGTAACATAATTATAAAAGTTCTCTAAAATAATTTTTTTATCATATGAATAACTTAATTGTAGTTTAAGAAAAAATTTATTTCATTTTTCCTTTTATTTTATCTTATCTTAAAATAAGGTTTATGTATAAGTTTATCTAAATATGTCATATCATATGTAACTAATATTATTATAATTACTTCTTCGGATGCTAGGAATGATAATCATAAATACTTTGAAGTGAAGAAAAAAAAATAAAAAAAAAAAATGTTCCTATTTTTTGAATAGCTCAAACATATAATTAGTTATTAGAATTTGAAAACTGTTGGAATAAAAATTTATTAATAGAAGAAGTATGGAAAAATGATAAACACTATACGTTTTAATTTAGAGAAACAACTTATATTTTTAATTGAACATATATTGATTTTGGTTGCATACAAAGATATCATTTCTATTTATTTTAGTTGCTTCTCCTCAATCAATAGCTAAGATTTTGGCAACACATCTTTAATCTAATGGCTACAAATGATTCTCTAGAAAGTTGTTCAAAAATTCAAACCTACTCACATATTACAAATAATTTTATATGTTCTCTAGAATTATCTTCAAAGATTCTTTTCAAAATACTTCTAGAATGTGACCTTAACAAGTTTCTAGAAATTGGACTTTTATTTAGACAAATAAGTTCCAAAATCATGTTTATATTTCAACACCCCCTCCCCCTTGATTTTATTACTTCAATCAAGCTTTTCAATGTGGTGAAATATTTTTTTTAAGTGGCTTGGTGAAGATATCTACTACTTGATCATGAATCATCACATACTTTAAATGCACATCCTTTCTTGTTAGGCACTTTCTAATGTAGTGATAATGCATATATAATGTGTTTACTTTGGTCATGGAAACCTAAGTTCTTAGCTAATGCTATTGTTGACTTATTTTCTACAAAAATCTTGGTATGATTTTCATGCAACAAACCCAACTCCTTTAGTAGATTTCATAACCAATTGCATGGCAAACACGTGAGGTAGTAGCTACGTATTCCACTTCACAAGTAGCTAGAAAGAGTAACAATTGGTTACTTCTTTGAAATGCATGTGAAGGTAATGTCTCCCATGTAGAACACAAAGCTAGTTGTGTTTTTACCACGAACCACATGTCCACTCCAGTCCCTATCACTATATCCAACAAGTTTTTAGTCATCAGAAATAAAATAGTAGAAGCCAAGATTTGTTGTATCTTTGATATATTAAAGAAATTCTTTGTCACCTTCAAATGATTGATTGTTAGATTCTACATGCATTACTAACAACTCCAACTGCGTAGAGAATATTAGGTCTTATGCATGTTAATTAAATATCGCGAACTTCCAATCAATCTCTTAAAGAGTGTTGGATCCACTTTTTCTCCTTCTCCATGCTTTGATAATTTGACTTTATATTCCATTTGTGTGTCAACTGGATTAGATTCATTCATCATAACTTCTTAATCATCTACATAGCATAACCTTCTTAAGTCATAAAGATGTCTTTGTCTTCTTGTTGTCAAGGTAGTAAGACATAAGATGAATATCAATCATGTCAAACTTTTTCATCAAACATGGCATGTCATATGGCAAGCTCTCATTGGCCATTCTAGATCTAGGATGGTGACATGAGTTATACTTTCCTTGCCTTGCCACATGGCAAGCTCTAATTTGTGATTCTAGATCTAAGAAAGTGATATGTGGAGCTTGGGTTGGCCAAATAGGTTAAGTAGACTAGGGTTAGTTGTCTTGAGTTCAAGTTAATCTAACTTAGGTTATTTTTAACCTAGGTTGGAGTAACTTGTAGCACAAGCTAATAAACCCTATATATAGGACTCTTGTATAATCCAGTCACTTTTGATGAATATATGAGATATATCATTGAGTTTTCTCTCTTCCAAAATTCTTATGATAGAAAACCTAGGAGAAACAAGATTAATGTAGCTAGCTCCTTCAAGATTCTAAGGAAGGATCTTCACCTCTTGGACCCCTTCAAACTTTTTCAGTGGCTTCCATGGATGCTAGAAGCCATTTTCACCAAACAAGATGATGTGGAGAATCTCCTTAATGGCGTCACACTCTTGAAGAATGATAAGTCTCTTCAATTTCTCACCACACTCAAGAGATGATAAGAGAAAAGAAAAAATTTCAAAGAGAGAAACAAGCTTTGAGAGAAAGAGAACTTGGGAAAGGAAATCTCGGCTAAATCAATATATCACTCAAAGTGTTCAGCCATCACTACAAGAAAATTATTTTTTTGTGATAACCACATTTGTCACTAAAAGTTTGAAATTCATCACTAAAAGCATTTTGTGACGATATTTTGATTTATCAGCGATCGTCACTAATGCGCGAGTCACTATTAAATTAGCGACGATTTTTCAAATGTCACAAATATTAGTGTTTATTGTGAGAAAATTATTGTCACTAATATTTATATATATAACAGTGACAAAATCAAGTTATCACAAATATACAATAATATAATAGTGATAAGTTAATTGTCACTATTAAGAGTTTTAAATAATAAAGATATTACCATTAGTGTCAAAATATTTTGTCACAACTAGTAATTATTATTTAAAATAATATTAATAATAATATAGTATTTTTTATTTTGGTCTTTAATTTCATTTTCTAATTATGATATTGATTTCAATTTTGTCTATAATATTTTACTTTTTCATACAAATTACCCTATTATTTTACCTTTGCAAAATTATATATATAATAATTCATTTATGCAAAAATGCATTAATAAAATACACATAAAAAATAGATTAAATGATTATATTATAAATTTTCTCATAATATATATTTTAACAAAATGTAAATAAAACTAATCAATAAAGATATGCTTTGTCATTATTACAAGAGAAAATGTAAAAAATAAATAAATAAATAAATTGGGTATTCTTCTAAGAATATAATAGCCACAAACTTGTTAGCAAAACATTCCATCACTCCTTCCAAGTCTTAGCTACTTAATATTGTTTGTAACATCTGTGAATATGTTAATCAAAGAGATGACACCAATTCTTAGTCCCACTAGATGGATTACATCATAATTTTTTAAGTCTTCTGTTGCAACTCCATAAGTTCCATTAGTTAATAGTCATGACACCTGCAATTAATTTTATAGTTTCACTAAGATTAGAAAGAAGTCATTTTACCAATTTTAGTATCACAATCTATATTTTTCATGATAATTTGTTTTTTTTAATCATATATTTAAAATGACATTAAAAACAACTCAACATACCTTAAGATCATAATTGTTTGAAGAAGACATCCTTGATCCTCACATGCTATTAGTTAACATGTCTGCATCAATCATATTGATGTAGTAATAAACATTATTTCGTGAACAACATCAATTTGAGAGAATGTTTGGAATAGTATTTTTCATGCAAAATTCAATTTGTGAAAACAACCTTCAATTGTGATATTAAGTTTCTCAAAAACTAAAAGTGAATGTTTTAAGTAATTTACAAAACAAGATTAAAAAAATCAAGAATTTTCTAATACAGGATAAAAATCATTGAATTTACGTAGCCAAATAAAATAGTAAAACAACATAAATTCATAATAACATAAAATGCCCAGAACACTCTTGGAAATGTTCCATACACTTAATTAAGATTATAGGGGGGAAAATCTCTTCCTCAACAAATATCTAAATAAAAAAATTAAATTTTATAAGACACATATCTTACATTTTTTATATCTCTTATTTTTTTATTATTAAAATTACTTGAAAATATTAAAGCCATAAAGTTTCAAGCACCAAAAATAAGGGATGCACTTGTTCAATTATCGAAAACTAGTGAAGATCCTAAGATAAAGAGTGAAGCCATGTGTTTGGCAACTTATGAGATGGAGAATTTTGAATTTTTATTAGGAATGAATATTTGGTATGATATACTTTTCACAATTAATTCTATAAGTAAGATTATGCAATTTAAAGATATGCATATAGATGTTATAGATCACTTAAGAGGCCTTATTTAAAAAATTATAGGTAAAATGGTTTTGCATCTGCATTAGAATCCACCAAAGAAATGGCTATTGAAATGGATATAGAGCCTAACACTACAAGAAAAATCAGCATTATCTACGGAAAAAATCCGTAGATAATGATGAAAATCCGTAGATAACTGATAATTATCTACGGATTATCTATGAAAAAAAATCCATAAATAATAAGGTCATAGATAACATTATCTACGGAAAATCTTCTGTAGATAACGTTATCTACGGATATAGAATTTATCTACGGATGCGTTTATCTACGAAATTTATCTACGAAATTTATCTACGGATGCGTTTATCTACGAAAATTTCCGTAGATAACTTACCTACGAAAATTTCCGTAGATAACTGATTTCAACATAGCATGAATTGTTTTGTTTACCTTTCCAGACCAATCTTTATAAATAGTTTTACCTGGTCAGAAATATTAATAAAATCACTTCTCAGATTTCTTTAAATATCCTATAACCACGATATAAAATCAAACATCTTTAAAATCTAAATACCCATAGCAATTATGCATAATTAGTTTCCATGTCATAGTGTAAAATAAGACTATTTTTGCATAAAATTATACATAATAAAATATTTAAATAGTTGTGGATCCATAATCTAAAAAAAATCTAACTAATAGTCATCTCCATAGTGTCCAGTA